CGTCTACCACAGTTATGGAAGGACATCAGGTGATTAAACAAGACAGGATAAGGATGAATCTGTACTCAGTAGTGTAGTCATCAGAGTCAAGCTAAGATTGCCAATATAACTATACTACCTGAGACAGGACAGTTTACTGCATGTGGGCTAAGAGGCGGTGTGGTGAGGGTAAACCAAGCTCGTAACGACTGGTGGGTGTAAATTCCTGGGGGTTGTTAGTGAGAAGGACGATACTAGGACAATCTAGGAAGGAAGGTGGATGCGAGGGAGAAGGTCCCCAGTCCCCGAAGTACTACTATCAGCTTTAATCAGTGAGTGGTGCGTGACGAAGAAGATTTTCGATGCAATCCTCGGATGTTGATAGTGGAGAGTCGGGAGTCTAAATGTATGTTTATATGTGTTGTATGTGTCCACTCCTGGGAGCAGCAAATTTGGTTTGTCTTTTTGTTTGGTTGACGAGGTAGGTTTTGGCGCGGTATAGCCTCGATATTGACGAAGGCAGCTACAGCAACGCACGTCGACGTAGGCCATGGGCATCGCAGAGTTTCTTCCGGCTATCCCAGGTATATTGATTTTTTATTGAATACTTTTGGACAGACGAAAAGGCCAGTTTTTGTTATTGTTTATGGCATTGCCAAATAGCTCAACCGAGGCGAGGCCAACTCCATCAGGCTGGGTGTGGTTTGGCGTGGCTCGATGTGTCAGCGTGAACATTTAACAAGGGCGTTCATTCTCAACTAGTGGGTGGCATACGTCTGGGATTATCATACTGTTACAGTCACAATACAGTCACAACTGGAGGGATAAGCAGGTACAGGGAATTGCGCCTAAACCTACATGGGCAGGAAAGTAATCTATTGGAGCTTTCTCTTTCTTTTGGAGAAAATATCAAGTTGTTACTAGATGGGATCATTGATATTTGAAGACAGCGGACAAAAATGAGGTACGGAAGCACAAAAAAGCATCTTGCCTGGCACGTAATATCTCCAGCCCAACACGGATTTCTCCCAAGTTGTTCTCGCGTGGATAACATGTTCGTGTTTATGGACGTCTTAACCCAGGCGAGGGATGCCATATTTTTTGTTTTCACAAAAGCAGTTGATCGGGTCCCACACGTCCCGCTTCTCCACAACTTCGGGTTTTACGGAATTCAAGGGAAATTTCTACACTACATCAAGGCGTTTCTATCAGACAGATCAGTCCGTGTGAAAACAGGCCAGATTTACTCTTCTCCGGCGCCGGTTCCAATGGGCACTCCTCAAGGCTCCGTTTTTGGAGCACTACTTTTTCCCATGTATGCCAACGACCTCCCAGATGTTCTTGAAATTTCATGTCTGTTTTTCGCGGGCGACTTGAAATCTTAGGGTTCCATTGCCAGTGTCCTCCAAATGGATTTAGACTCACCGAAGCAGTGGTCGTTGGGCTGGCACTGGATGACGAAACATGCGCCCACATGTCATTTCTAGAAGACTCAGCGAATTCCTTTTTCAGGCATGGCGAGAAAGGACCAGTATACATAATGATGGTAGATGCCAAAGAGGATTTGGGTATCTGGTTTTCCTCAAACCTGTCCTTCTAGCTACACCATGAGAAATCGCCCCACAAGGCATTAGCTGTTCTACGGATGATTCGGCGCACCTTCTTACGTATTACTCGCATGGACTTCTAAATGAGGCCTACTTCAGACTGCTCCTTGAATATGCCAACCAATTTATCTACTCAGGACGCACGAAAGACGCAATCCTCATCGAGCGTGTCCAGCGAGCCATTACGAGAATGGTTGCCGGCCTCGAATGCATGGACTATGAAACGCATCTCGCGGTGCTTGAACTCTTTCCCTCGGAGTATCGTCACCTCCAAAGGGAACCAATTCTTACTTATGCCCTGTTTGAACACGTTTGACCAACAGGTTTTTGGCCGTAAACACACGGCGGGGACAGTTTGCGTTTCGGTTAGTGTACTACCATTATCTAACCCTTCCAAGAAACTATTATGACCGACTCCACAATAGCGACACCAGTGATGCTCGAAGTTTCAATGTACAATTTGACCTGCTGGATGACGCCAACCTTGCTGCTTCACCAGATCCGATGTCCTGGCTCCTAATTTTTACCGTTACACCCTCCTCGTCATGCGTCAGACAGAAAGCCTCCCGATTGCCTCCTCGCTTTGTTTTTACCCGCCACTGCCAAATCCTAAGGATCAGAACTTACTCGATATTCTCTCCAAAAAACTCATGGTAACTGTGCTTCCCCGCCTGTGCCGGTTCTGTGGTGACCACGCCTACATCGGATAGCCCCCACCCGCTTTGACGCTGCCCCGTCTCCTAAACTTATCCTGTGCCCACGATCCCAGTCAGTCGTGCTTTCAGTCTGACTGTAAAATTATGAACATGCCTAACGGTATGCCACCCAAAAATTAGGACGCAACAATATTATTATTAACATTTTGAAGCTAAGAGCGCACACATTCATTAGGCAAACTTTTTGCTCATTTCGGGTGGTAGCTGCGTGGAATAACCTTCCGACGTTTGTCGACGCTCCTTCTGGAACCCAGTTTAAAGTACTGCTAGACACTTAGACGAGGCCTCGCGCTGGCAAGCCTACTGCCTTGCGCTCGGAACTGAAGGAGCAGTGCCGCAGCCTTTTTGACTTGTACCCTTCAGGTGAACGGCAGCCGCTGAACGACAAGAAAAAAACCGACCCGTGAAACTTGTGTAAAAGCCTAGTTCTTGTGTATCAATCCATAAATCCGTGAATCAATCCGCGATAAGCAAACTTTCAATTGTGGAAAGCGAGGTATCACAGCAACGAATATTGTGAGGTAGCAGGATTGCCACGATCCGGCCGATCGATCTGACGTAAAGCATAAAACCAACAGTGAGGTGTTTTGGCTTTGGGCTGTTGGGCTGTTGGGCATAGGGATGATGAAGTAGAGGAATCAGCGATATGGATAGATGACAGCGGGGCTTTCATAGTCACAGTGTACATTGAAACTGTGGAGCCTCACTGGTGTCTCTGTTGGAGTGGGGCCCGGTGTAAAGGTTTCTTGGGGGAGGAAGTTGGTGCTAAGTCACAAGCCGGAACGCGGACTGCACAGAGAATGGTTGACTCAGTGGTTCGCTTAGAGCGGAAATCACCAAGATGTTTACATTTAAATGGAAGGTTCGGTTAATCAGGATGAAGGGGTCCCGGAGGCAACCGGGATCAAGTGAAGAGTGTGTTCGCAGTTATAGTTAAGGGCAAGAGTGGATTAGGGCACCGCCAAAAGTAGGGGGTGAGTAGTTGCGGGTAATGTATCAAACTGTGTATGACTACCATGACATCTTTGTACTGACATAATTCGGTTTTTGGACAACCCCACGACGGGCGTCACTTTTGAGGTTCTTGGGCAGGGATGTGTAATTCTGGGGGCAGCGGGATTTTTGGGGCGGGGGGTTTGCCCAGAGAAGTTGCTGATGTTGAACACAACTAATGTAAGATCGCGGGAATTTTTCGGTCCGGATGGGGATCCCTTCGCGTGTAAATCACAGATCAGATGGAGTAAACGACAACCAGACAGGGTGCCCGAATCAGGCTTAGATGAAGTTCGAAGCTTGGGAAGAAGTGGGAATGGGATGAGATCCGTCAGGCCTGATGAGTTTCAGGAGGTACCAGAGAGGAGTTGGTTCAAAAATAAAGAGGAAAATGAACTTTTACCACAATTAGGATGGCGACAGCAAGTGAGTGAGACAGGATGGACGTAGACGTGTACTCAGCAGCCTGGCTATCAACGACTCTCTAGGCCTGCCAATATAAGCCACAATGGTACCAGAGACAGAAAAATTATCGGAAGTACGTTGGGGCGTGACGTGGTGAGGAGAGGCAAACGCAATCACTGACGGCCGTAGAACTCCTGGCTAGATTAAGACAATGTCTTAATCTAGAAGTAAAAGTGAATGTAAGAGTAATGACCAACTATTTCAGAAGCTCAATCTGGGAATCTATCAGTGACCGGTAACCGTAAACTTGGGCAAAGGCCTTCATTTTGTTTGTTTCCAGGTGCCATTTATTAAACTGATTAGGTGTTGTTGGTTGTCCTTTTGAATGCTAGCCCGTCCGAAAAATAGAAGGAACCAATACAACTACAAATGGCGCGTAACGCCGGCTAAAGCACGTCTTTATTCGTGTTGTGGTGGGTTCGCAGCCGGTGACTGCTGTGATACTTAATGACCTGCTACAGCACACGATCTTAGCCGGTAGCCTGGCGGACCATATCAGCAGTCACTAGGGGAATGCAAACTGCTTCCGATACTACGCTGTTCCCCTAGGGTTTGAAGGTACTCGTTACAACCAGTGTCTTCTCTTTCTGATCTGCTTGATTCAACGGAACACGGTGGTGCACGGGCTTGTCCGGGGTTGGTGGTTGACTGGTCCTGAATTTGTGTCCAAGAGGCAGAGTGGCCCACCGTTTTGACGGCTCGCGGTACATATCGCAATCCACTTCATTGACCCAACACAGTGAGGGACGTCTTGTGACCGTCGGTTATGTAAACGTACGGCCATGGGGAATTTTAGGAAACCTTTTGACGGCAAACTTCATAATCTGACCGTATTTGCGCCTGGCTGATGTCAGGGGTCTGGACTCATGTGCAATGAAGTTCTCGCTGCCATCGGGAAATACATGCGAAATCACTGTGGGCGCCTCGACATTCCTATGACCATTTCACTAGTGACGCTTGGTGAGCACTGGCTTATTGAACCTCGTTGGTGGTGCACCGTGGTGGCCTGCGAGACCGAGGAAGGACCTCAAGGATTTCACGTCTTTGGATGCTTGCTTACATTTGACGGCGTCGATATCCCCCAGATCTGGTTGGCGACCGTGCTCCTCAACAACGAACCAAAGGTACTTCTCCGAACGTATGAAGAAAGTGCATTTGTTTCCATACAATCTGAAGCCACACTTTTGAAAATGACTGAGCACTTAATCAAGGCGCTACTACAGTTAGACGTGTTCAAAACCCATGGCGATGAGATTTTTCAAATAAGCCGTAACGTTGAGCATTCGTGTGTCAGAATTTACAAGGTCTATTTCACACAGAGAGTTTTTAACATTCAGTATGTAAGTGTTTTCTTTCGCCATTTGATATCGGGCTCTTTGTTTGCTTGTTTGCGCTGCCAACCCATTACGTTAGAATGGAACTATCGTTCGTTGCAGCAGGTGCGCCATTAGTGCTAAGTTTGAACAAAAATGCTTTGCTCTGCCGTCCACAACGGTTGACTTGCCCCCTATTCCTGTTATATAGTAATCAATGAATTTTTCAGCTAGGACTACCAAACATGCTTCACAGTTGATACCTGACTGTGAGGACGTATGAATCTCTCTCAATCTCTCTTATTCACTGCGTCTATCTGGAAGCGCCAAAATTTTTTGGAAGACTACCTCATCAGCTCGCTATTAAGGTGTTTTATTGCCAGAATAACCAAAGCGAATAACACATATAATGATAGTAATTTCTACCGTTTTATAAATCTTTTTTCAAGTTAGTGAGCTTCCGAAGTTTCATTCATGTATTTCGTACGACTCATGAAGGAAACCCCAATTGGTATTGTAACCGTCGAACGCTATCTTCGAGTGACGCGTAATACCAGAACCTCCGGGTAGGCAAAACAAAGTCGAAGCAGGGTTTCTATACGGTACTATTATGCTGAGAGAAATTCACAATTTATACAAACCTGGACAGTAGATACGGGTCCAAAACAAACAGTCCGCTTGGACTACAAATGTACAAAGCAAGGGAGCAAACAGGCTCCCGCGTGAGACAGTCACACGTGCAAAGTCAGATACAAATGGCCGGATGACCTCAAGGCCAAATGGGTGAAGTGGTACGGACAAACAAACGTCAGTTCATATGTACGCACCAAACACAAAAGTGGGGCGGGCGTTACAAATGGGGACAGAATAAACGTGGAGAATTTCATTGTGAACATAACGGATGATACAGGTACATTAGTTTGCTCTAACACATGTTTCCGGATAGATCGATTTCGACTTAAGATGCCCTGAAGGTCGTATAGATTCCGGAAATCTCTCGATCCGCCACATTCTTAAACTGAACCCTAGACGAACTCCTGTTGGAGCACTTCTGGG